TTGTTGTGACCCATCAGAGACACAGACCTCAAGGATGGGGTGAGAGAAGGTCTCAAAACAATGAACAGGGAGTTTTCGTTTCCATCGTCATTGGCTCTCTGCTGTGGTGAGAGAAGCCTTTCCAGCTAAGCAGCATGGCCAACACTATCATTTGGCAGAGGGGGAGGCTGCATATTGTCATCTCTTTTCATTGTATGTGCATTTTAGTGGACGGTGTGTCCACAAACCACGTTCCAATAAGCTGTTAGTCTTAAAGGTGCCAATTGACTCATTATTTTCCTGCAAAAGACTGGCAGGAGGTACACCTGCAGGAATTGTCTTGCATTCCTACTTAAATTATAATTACTATAATTTAAACAGAAACACAATGCAGTGCAATATGATTTAAGCAGAAACACAATGCAATTACAAGATAATTTAGATAGCAAGACAATAGAACACAATTACTGTTTCTGGATTTGCTAATGGATGTACACTATCCTCTTTGTTCTGTCCTACCCACTAATTCAGCATCTGTAAACATTGCAACTCAAATGACATGCTTTACTAAAGATTAAAGATTCTTCTCCTCCTCCTTGTTTATCTCCTACTTTATTGTGGCTATGCATATTTTGTCTCAAAGAAACAATTGGAATTCATGACTAGGAGCCCCAATAAGGAGCCAGAAGGGTTAGAAGTAAGGGATTATGGCAGATATGGTCTGAAAGAATGAGAAGACAAGAGTTTCCCCAACTTTCTGATTAAGGTACTCTAATTAGGAAAGGGTCACAGTTCTGTGTGAGGGCACACGGTTTAAACATCAGTTCCTGCACCTCCCATGGAAATGATTAGGTGGGAGATCATCAGAAGAACTTTGGTCTGCCTGAGCTGCTTGGATCAGTTGTGGGAAAACGGGGCCTAATTTACAAACAATACAACCTAGTAACACTTGGTCCACCAAGACCCATATAGCCTGCTCTGACTGGCAGCAGCATTCTCTATGGTTTTTCACAGTATCACATTCAAGGACCAACCAGGCCTGGTTATGCTGCCCTTCCAGAAGCAGAGGGGAGCCAATGCATTCCAGGCGTCACGTGGCTTGACTTATTGTAACACACCTTCCTCCATTTCACTGATGTGGACCAAGGTGTTCCTAGATCCACCATGGCAGATTTCGGAAGAGAAAAACGCATACAAGCTAAATCAAGAAAAGATGCCATTCTGGCCAAGTCCATCTTATTACATCTAGTAATAAGAGTGAAAAGTGGTTACAGCAGTGTCACGGGCGGCTGATCCATTTCTGGGCTGAATCCAAGGTGTTGGTTCTAAGCTATAGAGCCCTAAATGGCTTGGGATCAGAGTATCTCAAGGACCGCCTCTCCCATGATGAGCCTGCTTGGCTGTTAAGATCATCAAGGGAGCCCTTTCTCTTGGCCCCACCACCCTCACCATTGTGCTTGGTGGAGACACGGGAGAGGGCCTTCTCTGCGGCTGCTCCCAGACTCTGGAACTCCCTCCCACTGGAGGCCTGGCTGGGAACATGCTTGCCATCCTTCTGCAAGCAGGCAAAAACCTTTCTCTTCAAGTAAGCCTTCCCTAAGTGTCTGGCTGCCTGAGTGGGTTTTTTTTTAAAAAAAATAGAATGTTGTGCCCTGGGGGCTTTAACTATGTTTTGATGTTGTTTCTGTTCACCATCTTCAGAATGTTGTGCCCTGGAGCTTTAACTACGTTTTGATGTTGCTTCTCTTCACCATCGTTTAGTATGGTGTTTGTTTGAGCCGTCCAGTATTTGTATACTTACTGTTTTTGGCTTCAAACATTGTCTTTTAATGGATCTAAGCATGGTATTTGTTTGAGCCGTCCAGTACTGTATTTGTATACTTACTGCTTTTAGCTTCAAACATTGTCTTTTAATGGATCTAAACCACCTGGAGTCCTTTTTAAGGAGAAAGGCGAGGCAAAATGTTTTTAATAAATAAACAAATGCACTAGAAAGTAAGGAAGAGTCGTGAACGGGGGCATTTCTGTTACATCTGGAGGCTAAGATCTCTTTCAGCACCTTGGACAGAAGAGAAGCACCTCCAACTTTTCAGATAGTCAATAAAAATTTTATGTCTATTCTGATCACTCCTGCCCACTCCATCGCCAGACCTGTGGCCTAATCCGGACCCTGGCATGCATGGGCAGGAGGACTTAAACTTTGCACTAAGTTTTTGGTTGTTTGTTTTTCTGTTTGCTTTTTAGCTAATTTTGTCCCTCTAATAACGAGCTCACAAAGAGACTGGCACCAGCAGGAGTTTTTTTTTTTAAAGGTTTAACCAGAAAACAACTGAGGTATGTTTCCTGAGGTGAATTGAACTAGATCCACAGCTGGTCCTTGCGTGCTTCCTCTAGAGTAAAAAAATATGAAATTAACATTTCTCTGCATTTAGCATGGGTTATTGTTGTCTAGAACAGCAAGGAGAACAAACCTATCAGTTCTGAAGGCAATCAACCCTGAGTGCTCCCTGGAAGGACAGATCCTGAAGCTGAGGCTCCAATACTTTGGCCATCTCATGAGAAGAGAAGACTCCCTGGAAAAGACCCTGATGTTGGGGAAATGTGAAGGCAAGAGGAGAAGGGGACGACCAAGGACGAGATGGATGGACAGGGTCATCGAAGCGACCAACATGAATTTGACCCAACTCCGGGAGGCAGTGGAAGACAGGAGGGCCTGGCGTGCTCTGGTCCATGGGGTCACGAAGAGTCGGAAATGACTTAAAGACTAAACAACAACAATTATTGTCTAGCCCTGAAACAATTGCCCCAGACAGCAGATGCTGGGGGTCAGGGTGAGCAACAGGGACTGTTCCTCCTGGACCCCCTTGGTATTACTCACTAGGGGAGGACATGAAGAAGGCCAGTGGCTCCACCCTTGCCCTCCTTGCTCCTAACCAGTCTGGCACTGTGAACCAACCACACATGCAATATTTTTGACCCATCTGGAAGGCCTGGTTGGAATCTCAGAGCCTGGTTCAGCCTGGCCCATCCCCCTGGGGAAGCTTTGAAAGACAGAATGGGAAGCTTCCTAACTGTAAGTACCAAGGCTACTGGATGCTAACTGTCAGGGGCTTTGGAGCATGGCTTTCTTGTTGCCCATGGCAGCCACACTTGTGTTTCATTGTACAGACATCAAGGAGTGGTCCTGAATGTGTGTCTAGCCAGTGTATGAAGATGGAAAGCAACAGGAATCCAGATATTTCTGGAAGGAAGGTTGAAACTGGACTCACAGGTATCTGTGAATCGGACCTCTGAGGTCCCCTGGGCTCCATTCTGCCAGCTCCATGTTTGGGGCCAGTTTTACTCCCTTCCTTGCCTTGAGATCCCAAGTGTTCCCTGGTGATCTCTCACCAGAGTCTTGACCAGGCCTGATGCTGCTTAGCTTCCAAAATGAGATGAACTTTGTGTGTTAAGGATGATAAAGTTGTTTCCTTAAGAAATTCATCAGCAATCTAGATAACATTAGGGAGGTGGCATAGCTTGTTAGCACCCGTTCTTTCCAATCAAAGGCTGAAAATGTTCAGCCTTCAAGATGTTTGGAAGTATACCTCTCCTAATCTCTTCTTCTTGGCCATGCTATGTGGGGAAGATGGGAGTTGTAGGCCAAAGTATCTGGAGGTCCAAAGCATCCTCCCACCCCTTAATCTCAACCAGAGCTTGAGGAGTGTGCCCCTCCCCCACCCTTTTTTGGAGGATTATGGCATCAATAATCACAGTGGCCATGATGGCTGGCAGATATTGCAAGTTGAGTTCAAGCCAGGAACTTTTCCATTCTTTGCTTTCCACAAAAATTGTTCAAGACCAACTTAACTCATAGTTGGGGAGAAAAATCACTCTTTTGTAGCAATATCTAATATGTTGATGGTTTCATGCCCGGGCATGTCGTGAGAATGGCTGATGGTCGGATTCCAAAAGATCTCCAGTATGAAGAATTAGTGGAGGGAAATTGCTCCAGATGGAGACCACAGCTGCGACACAAGGATATCTACAAGCGGGATCTGAAGGCCTTAGGAATAGACCTCAACAGATGGGAAACTCTGACATCTGATCGTTCAGCCTGGAGGCAGGCAGTGCATTACGCCCTCTCCCAATTTGAAGAGACCCTTGTACAGCAGGCCGAGGCAAAGAGGCCGTCCTGAAACCAGCAAAATCAAGGAGCTGGACAGGGGACAGATTGTATTTGTCTTCAGTGTGGAAGGATTGGTTACTCTAAAATTGGCTTCCTCAGCCACACTAGATGCGGTTCCAAGACCTCCATTTGGAGCACATTACCATAGTCTCTCGAGACTGAAGGATGCCTAAATTCATTCAGTTTGATGGTTTTATGATGTATCTCCCTCTTTGAGTCAGCCTGGATGTCAAGATCAACAGGGGAGGCCTTTCTCTCAGTCCAACCACCCTCACAGGCATGCTTGAGGGGGCTATGGAAGAAAGCCTTCTCTGTGGCTGCTCCCAGACTCTGGAACTCCCTCCCACTGGAGGCCAGGCTGGCCCCATCTTTGCTGTCCTTCCGCAAGCAGATGAAGACCTTTCTCTTCAGGCAAGCTTTTCCTTAATGACCGTTAGGTTGAGAGGAGATTTTATATAAATGATTGTGCTTGGTTGTTCTAAATGAGTTTTAGTATTCATTTTATTTACCATTTTAATATCATATTTGTATAACCCTTTTTAAAATTTTGTTGTATATTTACTATTTTTTAATTATATAAGCCATCTTGAGTCCTTTTCAGGAGAAAGGCGTGGTAAAGCTATCTTAAATGAAAAACAATGAATTAAATAAATTGGCAGCATTTGCCATATATTGTATTCTTTCAAGTTTGCAGCTAGATAATAGCTCAAGAACATTTTCCTCCTTCAGTTATAACCAGTTTTATTTATTGTAAAAATAAACACAGTTTTGCAATAACCTCAACACATTCTGTTTTTTAAATACAAAGAGAAGTATTTACATATCTTTTAAAAAAAAACACTACAGTCTCCTAGTCTTAATTATATACAATTCATTCATTTACCAAAGTCTGTCAGTTCCAGCAACTTGTATCATTAACAATGCAATAAATTGTGCTAATTTTATACACAAGAAAAGTAGCCATCCTCTTTCCTGGAAGGTCCATTAAAGTGCTTATGAAAGGGAAAGTGGGATCAGTGTGTTAAAAATGGTAGCATCTGCCAAGTTGCTTTCATCCCTGTATAAAATGCAGGCAATTATTTAGATATACAGACACTTTTCTCATTAACTAAAGCTAATTACAGAAGCAGTTTTGGGGAAGAAAATACTGTTTTTCCCTCCCACGGAGCTCAGTCGAGATCTGTCCATGGCTGGAAGGTGCTGAAACAGAGCATCAGACCGCCTGGAGCTGTCCAGAAGCAGTGGTGCTGAAACAGCTTAGCTGCTAACTTACTCCATCACCTGAGATCCACCATATTTGGATATGGAATGAGAGCAATCTCTCTCTAGGCCATTATCTGACGTTCCTCTTCCTTTCCTTTCATTTGCTCACTTTTGAGAATGCCTTCTCCTCTGGTCCCTTTCAGCAGAAGAAATCAACCAGAATGGGGAAGGCTCATGCAGGGCAAAATGCTCATTTCTGCTACCCATCTTTCTCCGGTAAGAAGGAACCATTTGAAAGAGGGCTTCCCAAACTGAGTATCCCAGCAAAGTGCCCTAAAAACCTTTGATCTCCTGCAAAAAGCCAAGACTTGGTGGATTCCCCAAAGGCTTTTAGAGGGTCCCAAAGGAGAGTCCGACGGTGTAGAACCCGAGTCCTTTCAGCTTCTCCTCTGCCCTGGCTTTCTGCTTTAAGTGGACTTTGCTGTGCCTCTTTTTCTCGTCGCTCCGGGCAAAACGGCGGCCACAGTCATCACAGGAGAAGGGCTTCTCCCCTGTGTGGGTTCGGATATGGGTGGTCAGGTGGTCGCTGCGGCTGAAGTTCCGCAGGCAGATGCGGCACTGGAAAGGCTTGTGGCCGGTGTGGATGCGAAGATGCCGGTTGAGTTCATCGGACCTCGCAAAGCTCCGGATGCAGTTCTCCACCGGGCAAGCAAAGGCCTTCTCGTGGGGCTTAGGGCAGAAACATTTGGAGGAACATTTCCCTCTGCGGGGCCTCTTCTTTGGCTCCAGAAGGACGCTGGCATTCCTGCTGGGTCCTAAAGCAGATGCTGAGGAACCGGGGGCGTGAGTAAGAAAGTCCGCCATGGAGACCAGGGATGAGGGAGAGGAGGTGCTGTGCAACCTCTGGTCGCCGGGGTTTATCAAGCTGGGCATGAGCTCGGCCTGGGCTAAAGACGGTTCAAAGTCTTGGAGGAGCGGGTGGGGGAGAGTGGCGATTTTGGCTTCCGCAAAGTCACTGGGGATTTGGCTCTGTGTGGGGAAGGTGTCCGGCTGGCAGCTGAAATCCAGGTTCTGCCCAAAGGACCCCGGCTGTTCTGAGAGGCAGCTGAGCTCTGACTGGCAGCTGACGGACAGCACGTTCTCTGTTTTTGGAGCCAGCTGGGGGAACACGGTCTGGCTGGTCTCTGAAGAAGGAAAGGTCTCTGAAGAAGGATATTCTGAGGGCAGATAATTCTGAGGTTGGCCCAGAGGGTCCCAATGGGAACAAGGAGGTTTGAACTTCTCCAGAGATGGAGAAATGGAGGAGAGCTTAATATCCTGCTTACTCTCCATCAGCTTTTCATTAAAGAGACAATGAGAAGAAGCTTGCCCTTCGGGAGATGTTTGGACTTGCTGGTGGAGGCTTTCTGGACTGGCGAAGGTGGGATAACCTTGGTCAGCCAAGGATGGCTGGACAGAGATATTGAGTTCAGGTGGACATGTGGAATAGAGGTCCAGGTGGTTCTGTATAGCTTCAGGGATGCTGTAGATGGCCTCTGGTGGCCTCTGGGGGGCCTCTGAAGCTGAGAAGGGGGAAAGGCCCAGGATGCCTGACATCAAGCTGAAAAGGGACTCTTGGTCCTGGCATTGCTCAGTCTTGATAAAGAAGCTACCCGTATAATTGACGGGTGGAGATGGCTGCCCAGAGAGGAAGTAGAAATCTGCCGTTTCAGGGTTCATGGGGGCGCCCATAAAGTTACCTAGAAAATTGATATTCAAGATTATTCTTTTCAGTTATAAAGTAAAGACTAATGTAAAAGCACAAGCCTACTGCAGCAAAAAGCAGGAGACAGATCTGAGAAGTGTGCACAGCATCAGGTGTCATGCTTTGCAAGCAGCATCTATGGGCTGCGCATAGAAGGCCCTAGGCAGTGGCAGCTGGTCTGGGGATATGGTGAATCCACTCCTGGTTTTAGTTTGCACTTTACGGGAGCCATCCAATGCACTGAAATATCCCCCCCCAATAGGTTCAGCACCATGGATAGCTCATATAAAAGTGCAGACCAAAACTAAGACCAGGAGTGGATTTACACAATCCCTGGAAGTGGAGTCACTTGCTGCCACAGGTTCCAGATTCCACCCCTTGCACCTCTATTAGGTAGCAGGGGGGCGGAAAGACCTTCCTCTCTATATCTTGTTCCGGAGAGCTACTGCCATTCTGAGTGTGCCATATTGGGCTCAGCCTGATAGGAGTCATCATTTCATGTTCTTCCGCCTGAAACATGGACCAGTTAAGCTCATATCTGAGAACCACACAATCCCTGCCCTTCTTAACCCTGTTGTATTTCCCATCCAATCCTTCCGTTCAACTTGGTTTGTAATATTTTACATAATGCTGCACACATACCTGTTCTATTTTTTTTCCTTCTATGGGGTTGATTCAAAACTTCACCCCCCCCATCCCTTCCTCATGTCAGTCTTGCCTGGAAAACTTTAGCTGTATTAGCAAAGGTCTGGGCTCAGTGACCCCTAAGAGCCGGAGCAAGATCCCCAAACCAGTCTGAATGGCCTAGGGTTTACTGGTACCCTAGTCCATGTGCAAAAAAAGCTATCTGTGTTTCTAAGCATATATGAAGTAACAAGTCCTACCCAAGGAGTTTAATGGCTGTTCAGGAGAAGGTCTTTCTTTTTGCTTAGGTTTCTTGGTCCTACCAGCAGCTTCTGATGAAATCTAATGATCCCGGGCAAAACCGGCCACCATTTCAGCACCAGATAACCCCCCACTGAATGTCTGGGCCCCTCCCTCTTGCCCTCTTTTCCCTCTGTCTCAGAGGTGATCTCCAAAACTGGCACATTTTTCAGGGGGCCCTTTTTCTTGATGGGCCAAATAGAAGCATGGCTCCAGGTTGGAGCCCAATTCAAAGAATTATGGCTGTCCATTAAGAAAGGGGTAGAAATGGGAATTAGTTCTGGAACACTAGGGTTCAGAGCTCATCCTGGGGAGATGTAACTCATGGGGTCTGGGGTCCGGGGAAAACAGGAGAGCCCAGCACTGAAATGGCCCAGCCTATCATAAGGGTTGCCCCCACCCCGTGGATTTAACCTGGGATTAACGCCCCACTCTCAAATTGCAAGCTAAATCCTGCAATGGAATGAGCTGCCCAATTGAAAGGTGGGGGAGGGGAAAGAGAGTAGTCTTGGGCAAAAAAAGACTATTTTGGCCTTGGTCAAGAATATACTGGGCACAGAGAGGACCAGAGAGAGATCCTGGGGGCCTCTGGGTGGCCACTTTTGGAATTTGCTGGCAACCCAAGGGCCAGAGTTCCCAGGTGGAGGTCTAAAATGGGAGGGGCTTGGAGAATGGCACTCTAGGGGGGGGTCATATATGGTCATCTCCTGAATTAGATGATCTTACTAGAGTGCTCCATTAGAAGACACTAGTTTCCCTTCCTTCCTTCCTTCATCAGCTCCATCCATCCATCCATCCATCCATCCATCCTTCCTTCCTTCTTGTCCTATGTTACTCTCAGGCCACCTGTGGCCCCCGAGCTGGCCTCCCTGGAGGCTTTCGGAATCCCCGTGTAATCAATCCATCTGGAGATCCGAGGGTTCAATCCACCAACCCACCAGCCAACCCACCGACCTGCCTGCCTGCAGAACAAACACCCTTCTGGGACGGTCTGGTCGCCAAACGGACGCCGAGCCCCCTGCCCTTTCCAAGAAGGGCCCTCCTTACCTGGGAGATAATGG